AGAAAGTGTGAATCTTGTCTCCCGTGACAGGGATATCACAATGGCCCTGGGGAAGAGTGAAGAGTCCTCCTCCAGAGTGAGGAAGCGGTGGAACCAACGTCGGATGAACTGACCGTAACCCCCATTCCCTGTCCCCCTGCGCCACTCGGGGGAAGGAGGTGGAGAAACTGGGATTGATGTTAAGCCCGGGAAGAAGGGAGGGATGAGGGGAAGGTGTTCTGCTTTTAGGATCTGTTTGCTTTTTCTTATTTCTCACTACTCCTCTCTATTTGTTCTCTTAATAAATGTTTTGCCCGGGACGGTAAGTGCAAGTGATCTCCCTGTCCCTATCTCAAACCTTGAGCCCTTTGAAATATTTTTTCCCCTGGTCTAGCAGAGAAGGGGGAGTGAGAGAGCGGCTGTGTGGGTACCTGGCTGCTGGCCAGGGTCAAACCACGACAGGGCCCAAGGATCACAATTCAGGCCTTTCAGATATGGAGAATTAGTCCTCCCAGCAGGTGGTGAAGTCGGAAAGGTGCCATTTGCTTTGATAACACTACTCAAGAGATAATAAATCGATCCAGCAATGGCACTTGCTTCCTTTCTGAGCTTCTGGATGCAGCCTGTGCATGCATAACAATGTGTTTATATGCAGGTACGTTACAGAAATTAAGAAAAATGCATACACATCTAAACAGATGCTCTAGGTTGAGGGGCATTAGTGAGCACAGACAGATCAATAAAAGGAGCAGTAAATGACACGTCTTTGTTCATTTGTTTGCTGTTCACCTTTGAAAAGTACATAGTAACTTAAACAGCTTTTCTTTTAAGGAAGTATTTGAAGACTTCAGGCCATCAAACCCCAGGAAGAGATAAAATGCATAGCAATGAACGTTGGTTGTCTTAAAAAAAAATACAAAAATCAACTTGGCAGCAATTCTAGCCTTGATCCCTTGGTGTTCTTTCAAACCGATGCAGCAAACTTACCCGAATCTGAAGAAATTGTTGAATTGTCTGCAGATCTTATGAGCGAGCTCTCTCTTACCACAGGCTAGAGGGCCCGCCAATACCAGCATGGGGTAGGGAGTATCCAGGCTCGGTAAAGTGCTGCAAGAAAGGAAACCAAGGAGCAACTACGTTACCTACACATGAAGTCTTCAGAAACTTTGTATAAAGCTTCTGAAGAGCCTTTATTATCATTTCAACTCATCTCTCTATCACACTATTCACGTCGTCCACAGCGTAGACAGAAATCAGGAGAAGCGCCTGCTCAGTTTGAGATGCTCTGAACATAAAAATAGCACAAAGTGCTGCATCGAAGACCCCTGGGTCTCTTTTGCCAAAGGGATAAAGTTATGTCTACTATAATCTTTTCTGATCTACAGCCTTTTCTAAAGCTCCCTCTGCAGTTACGGTGTTGCTGGGATTTGTTTAAGGGTTCCCCGAGTCTATTGCCGAGTTGGTAATATTTTAATGACCAGGATAATAAGCCTGGCATGAATCTGGACTCGATTCTACAAACTTTTACACGCTCCTGCGTGTAACCTTGCTGACATCCATGGCCTTGCCAGGTGAAGGTGGCAATTTGTAAAGAACTCTTCAATTCAATACAATGAAACACACTAAGATCCTTAAGCTCCGCTGAACGCAAATAACACTATAATAAAAGACTCCAAAGTGCTGCAAAAACACAAAGCCCTCCAATTTCTCCACGCTGAGCAGGAGCTTAGATCCCTACATTTCCCCTTCCAGCTGTCAATACTGGAATGAGTCGCATTTCTGCGCTTTTTGAGTGTCCAGCGACATGTTTAGACAGCTAAAAATGGAATGCAACTTTAGACTCTCAATTTTAAATTGCAGCCAGATCTTAACATTACGCCACTTGATAATATGCCAGATGGAGCTGAAATAATTTCGAGCCCACTTATTTTTAACTACTAGACAGCTTTAGCTTAAATTTAAATTTTAAACTGGAAGAAAACTACCTATGTGGGTTTAGTTTCTGTTTAATGCGATTTAAAATAGGTGAACACAAATACCTTTTCTTTTGCAAATAACTAACTCTATAGAAGTAGTGATAAACATCCAGCACAAGCATGGAAGAAAAAGATTTCAAAGTAATGGCTTTACTCCTATTTTAAGGTCACCTATTTTAGGTCTATTATCTACCAGACTATAATGGGACTTGATGCTTCTGAAGCACTAAGAGAATAATGCAATTCAGTCTCCTAATTCTCCTGCGGAGCGCTATCCTCGCAAGAAATAACAGATACACCTACTAAATGAAGAGACTGGCTCGAGTCTGTACATATGTGCTGCTACAAAATTGTGAAGCAAACCTGGATCCTGGTTCGGTGTTCCATCCACGAGACCGTTTTAAAGCACGAGAGTAACAGAACCCTTGGAGATTTAAGCATTTTTCACTTACTATGGTGATGGGTGACATTTACAAAACATTTAACAGCATTAGCACAATAAGCTTCTTAGAAAAATACATTAAAAATATTGGAGAAGGTAAAAATACATTTTAAAAATCCTTATCTGAATCTCCTCGATTGTGCCATTCTGTTCAACTCAAGAAAGATCTTCTTCCTTTCTTGATTATTTCAACTGTTCAGACTGTCCTTCCCTTTTCTGACATTAGTGATTTAAGACAACATGATTCCAGGAGGAACTAGTGACAGTTGTGGATGGTACCGGTGCATCACTATAAATGAACCATTTCAAAGATGGGAATTCCAGAAAACACACTTAGCGACTGGAGATTCAAAATCTATCTAAATGTAGCAGAAAGGCTCTTACTTCTGCTCGAGGTCATGCCCTTCGTGAATAACGACGTCAAGGCAGGTCTGCGAAGACAGAACCCTTATCTCCACCATAGTTTAAGTATCTTCCTTCTCCAGGCACAGAACCTGTTACATGCTCACAAATTGCAGAACAGCTCTGCCAGCTTTTCTTTTACGGGGAAGTGTCATGCCCAGCGATGATACCGTATGTCGTTACTTGCCCTGCTTCCACTCAGAATGCAAATTCTCTTCAATAAATTGCCACTGCTCGAATTCCTCACGTCCTCAAATTCCTTGGACTTATTATTTCATCAGAAGAAAATGAAGAATATTTCTGTAGCACTCTCTCATCACGTTACTACTTACTAGTTCTGAAAGTTTTGGTTTTCCTACAGCTTATAACAATATAAAGAGTTCTTGGCTCATTTAACGTGCATCTTCCAACTTTCTTTGTCTTTGGTGAGCGCAGTAATACACTGCTGGGCAAGATTAATAGATTTCAAGGCGAGAAGGGACTACCATGATCATCTAAGTCAGACTTCTCTCATCATACTGGCTACAGGATTTCCCCACGTTACTTCTTATTTCCAGCCTGATACCTGGGGTTCCATCAGAGAGTATTTTAATTAAAAACGTTCCGGTTGCAGAGAATTCTTGGTACTCTTGGTACATTGTTCCAATGGTTAATTACTTTCATTGTTAAGAATACTCACGCTCTGTTTCTTCTCTGAATGAATTTATCCTCAATAGCCAGCTACCAAGTTTCATCATGTACATGCCCAATAGACTGAAGAGCTGTCTGTTATTAAATTTCTACTCCCCACATAGCAGTTATAACTACAATCAAGATACCTTTTTAAATGCCACATGCGTTTCCAGTAGGGGAAAAATACACACAACGTTGTTCAGAGGTGTTTTGCCATCTAATTAAAGATAGAACCACAAGGCACACGGAAAGAGGGAATGGCCTCAAAAACTTCATGCTAACATTTTCTGATTGTAACTTTTTGCTTTGGCGTCAGGTTTTGTTTTTAATAGAGACATTACTAAACCAGAATTAATTATAACCTCAGCTAAAAAAGATATATGCAAATGAACTACACCAATCTGGTTCCAATAAGCATTTTATAGTGTAGAAGACTGTAACGCATCATTAGGAAGATTCCATTAATGACTTTGTTGTGTGCTTTCCAGCTGAGCATGGGCAAACATTCAAAGCATCATTAACAATTTGGTCAGTACCATAAATGCTGGTCTGCGTGTTTATATCTCTGTGTATACAATATCTCTGACAGAAGACAGAAATGTTTCTTCCCAGCAATGGAGATACACATACACGATCCAGTAAACAGATATTTAAACAGATCCTATGTCTACATTGGAAGAAATCCATGCCTTTAGGTAAAACTACTGTGCTTTTTCAAAAAAGAAATCTCCAGCCTTGCAAAACAGTAAATAAATCTTCAGCGGGTTTTTTTTTTAATTAATAGACTGTTCAAAATTCTCAGAGTTATCATCACCACTGAGACGGCTCCTATCTTTCATTGACCATCCCAGAAACCATAAAACTCTCAATAAGGATGTTCTAAACCCACACATTTCTGCGTTTACTAAATCACGGATCTAAACCCAGGTTACTCAGTTACGAATTAAAATGTCCACAACGTAGCTATAATGGGACGTGGGGCACAAAAGCTCATCTCAGTGCCCCCTGCAGCCAATACAATAATACACCACAGATATTCCACATCAGGGCACGTCAAAGCATTTTCCAAGGATTCATCAAGCAAATATCCTAACGGATCTGCAGAGCAGCAAGGTGTGGCCACTTTTTAGATGACAAATGGGACCTGGCGTGGCAATGGCAACACTGGGAAAAGAGCATCGCTTCGCCTCTCCCTGCTGTGCTTTAAGGGGCAGTCAGCATCGGCTCTGCCCAAAGGCAGAAAGGAGCTGGACTTCCCTAAGCACAAACTTGAAAATAGCACCTTATGAATACAAAATGTGCCCCAAAGCCACAAAATACAGTCATTTCGTTCACAATGGGATGCCAAGAGTGTGAAGAGAAGGACAAAGCATAATAGGAAGAAGATATATCTTGCAGCTCTCTAGAGATTTTTTTTTTTTTAAATTGCCTTTGGGTATTGATAGAAATTTCGCATCTTTCATTTACGGTGCAAATGGCCATCTGTTTCAACAGATTGTTTAAAAGAAATGGAGCCGTGGACAATCTGTCTCAGGCTTTAGAGGTGAATGACTGACTTCATTTCATAATCAATCTCGACCAAATCAGATTTGCCTAATTTCCAGACTGCTCACAGAACACTACAGAGCTTCTCCTGTTCACTGGATTAATTTCTTGGTGGGAGAGGGACAGAAAAATGCCCCTCGAAATATGACAACATGTTCTGCTTTACTTGAGTGCCACCCTCCGGAGCAGATGTGAAGTGGAGGTGAGCTTACCTGTCAAAGATTCTCTGGGGCTGCAGCAGGCCGTACATAACGTGCGTCATATGATCTTTAGCGGCCACAACTTCTGGAGGGGGATCGTATTTATTCACAGCAGCAACCTGTTTCCACAGTTTAGGGGCAAAAAAAGAAATGAGGTAATTGTTTCCAGCTGCAACATGCTTCGCAGCTCACTCTGGATAACGATGGCTTCGTATTTATGAGGGTCAGTCTTCGTATTTGGCTTGTCTGCAAGCACTCTGCCGCATAAATCTTTTCAGGAGATTTAAGCACGATTTGATGGATGGAAGTCAGCCAGACATAGCTCCCTATCTTTAATATATTCAGCCTTTTACTGGAAAGAAAACAGGATGCCACACAAGATGCAAAGTCATTTTGCTTAGGTTTTAATTATCCATTAATTTGCATCGTCTCAGTGGTGGTGCAAGACAGCAAACTCAAATCCCTAGGGACAGAAGCTGTTCATTTATTCCTCAGAAGAGGAAAAGAATAGGCATTAATAAAGTAAGAGAACTGCAATTTGCTCCTGACACAACACATTTCTGCCTTTCCGGGGAAGAGGAGCGCTCGAACTCCAAGGATTCCCTCCATCCGTCTTGCTGAAAGCTCTACTGCGGGTACAGACCGCTAATGAGCTGTATATTTTTTGGTATTAAGAATCATAATACCACTCCGAAACAGGTTAAGAACCTACCACCCACTCAGAAACAGGTTAAGAACTACTGAGTCATTCCATATAAACCATCAAACACCAACCAGCCCACCTGGATGCAAAATACTGCCGCGAGCTCCCTTTACTAGCAAGCAACATGGCGCAAGAAGAGTGGATCTTAGAAGTCAACCTTTTGCTAACCAGGACTCAACGTCCACGCTATTTTGGGGTGGGGAGCTCATTTCAATCTCGCTCTGGTTCAGTCCTTTGGCCTAGAGTTCATGGCGAGGAGGACGTTAGGTGCAGCCTGGTGCACATCACCTGGTTAAGCTTGTTCCAAAAAGGAGCCCAGCTCAGGTATCGAAAGACTATTCCAGGAGGAGAATCACACACGGCAAGTTGGGCAACTGGGAGTTTCAGATGGAAGCTACGCTGCTGGTCTGAACTTAGAACGTTTCTGTGTTAGTGAGACAGAAGAGCTGCTCCCTCTAAATTCACCTTCACAAAAGAGTTTATGAGGCCAGAGTAGACATCCTAAAATAACCAGAGGAGAGGATTTTCTGAAATAACTTTAATCATCGAAAAGTTAAGGGCTAGTCTAAACCAGTCACCGAGGCCACAGAGAAGGAATTGATTGGAAGGAATGGAAAAGTTAAGGGCTAGTCTAAACCAGTCACCCAGGCCACAGAGAAGGAACAAAATCTTCAATATATTAAAAATTTGATTGGAAGGAATCTAGATTGCCACATAAGACGAAGAGTAAGATCAACACCTCTGGTAGGTGGAGTAAATTACATTCTGGTATTATTCCTTCTCTGTGTTCATGATAAAAAATGCCTGGCATTAAACAAGAACCCTAATATTTATGCAGCTAAAGTTAGAAGTGATGGATTTCTTGTAAGGATCATTCTTAAAGGATAATTCCCTGAAATCCAACCCCAATGAGCAGCTTTTAATCCGAACAGTTCTAGCATGGCTTGGGCCCAAATGCTACACGCAGCAACCAAATTACTGTAAAAGCAGCACAAAAGGGAAAGGTTTCTATTACAATAGAAAATTAGTGTACGCAGTCTGAGCAGGTTTTTTGAGGGAGAAGATTTTACAGCGAACGCCGCAGGGAGCAGAATGGGAAATTTTCAGAGTTGTAACTTTCAGAGCTGCCTTTGCTGTACAAGACACTGAAAAAAAACCCCCAATAACAGCATTTTAGAAGCAGCGCAGTGAATGCAGTTGCTGGCTTAGATTAACCAGCTGAGTAACAATGGCTGCTGAGTAAATTTCTTCACTGAACAAAGCTTTTAGGTAAGCTTTGCATTATTACATATCACAACCGCTCCAGAAATTCTGTAGATACATATCTGAATTTAAAAGCACAAGTCTCTGCCTTTGTAGCCTGCCTCAGGGGCTGACACATGGGAGATTTGTCACACCCAAATGACTAAAAAGCTACATTTGCATGCACAGCTTTTTACACTCTTTATTTAAAAAAAAAATCCAGGAGGATATGATGTCTACATACCTTTTCTTCCACAGAAATCTTCTTGAGATCCAGTTCTGTTAGTCGAAGCAACATGAAAATCACAAAGAGCCAGTAATCTGTTTGCTCCTGGAGGACAAAAGTTTCCACTTTGACAGAAAGTACTTAACTTCATCAATCTAATGTTTAATTTCAATCGCCGAAATTAAATGGGCCTTAATATAGTGCAGCACGAGAAGCTTTTTACCCTGAAGGATGTCAATACGCTGCACAAACTGACACCTCACCACAAGCTCAGCTTCTGCAGCAAATGAATAATTGTTCAAAAGCCTGCAACCACATTGTTCAAAAAGCTGAAGATGGGAATTTAAAAATCACCACCACACCCCTCAGAACCCCAGGAAAGACTGCTGGAGAACTAAAAGCCTTATCTGTACTGGGACTATGTAATAAACTTTGGTTAATATTTCTAACCTTTGCATACTATAGGAACTTTAAAAGAGAATTTGCATTAGAAATTCATTATCTTGTCCAAGACAACAACAAAAAATAATTAAAAGTCAAATTAAAAAGCTGACACTGACAAGTTCATGAAGCTTCTTAGTTCTAAAATCAGCAAGGTGCAGTTAAAACAAGTGGAATTCAGACAGTGGTCTCAAGATGATTGTTGCATGTTTAAGTTCTTAAAACAGTAGTTGAAAGGAAAATGATCAGACTTTGCTTAAGGGAAGGACATCTAAGCAGAGAAAGGCTTTCGTATTACGTTAGACCAGGGGCAGCCTATTTCAGGTATTTTTTTACGATAATTTCATCATGTGCCACAATAGACCATTCTCACAGAAGCCAATGCAAAATTGGCCGTTACAGGAAGAAGTTAAACCCTTAATATTCCACTTCTTTCTGACATTGGAAATCATTGTAAAATTCACACGTAATCTTGAAATCACAAGAGTCAGGGTAGAATCATCTTTGATCTTGCAGGACAAATTATAAACGCGGAGTCCAAGTCAGAAAGTCTGATATTTTGCAAGTATCATTGTTGTTGATAAAAAGGGTGCTTAGGTCATTAATTGAGGAGTATTACGTGAGCCACCAATGAGAACTGAGTAAATCCTACAGAAAAAAAGAAGATACAGAGTCCAGGGACACCTCATTTTAAAGCAAATTATAAACGCGGAGTCCAAGTCAGAAAGTCTGATATTTTGCAAGTATCATTGTTGTTGATAAAAAGGGTGCTTAGGTCATTAATTGAGGAGTATTACGTGAGCCACCAATGAGAACTGAGTAAATCCTACAGAAAAAAAAGAAGATACAGATTCCAGGGACACATGATTTTAAAGGGAGCACTATTAAGTTCCTTTGGGGTTTTCCCAGGAACAATTGAGTACAGACCTTCAAAGCAAACAAAACAGGAATTTTTTCCCATACAAAAATCATGGCACAGATTCACAAATGGGTTTACTCTGTGGATATTAACATCATGATTCATAGGCAGCTTTGGTTCAGACAAAGGTGGGTAACCACGCCAGGGGAACTACCACTAATCTGTTCTTGAATTCGTTCCCTGCAATGACCTGGCCATGTTCACAGACAGAAACTGAGGCAGGATGCGAAATCACAGTTCCAGGTTTGTATATTTGGCTTCCTCTTTAGTTCTTTCTTACCTGCAGAGGATTTTTTAAAAGATTTAAAACTCTGAGGAGAGGCAGATCTTCAATACATTCAAGTTCACGCAGCTCAGCAATCTAATTAGGGACAGAAACAGAGCATAAATCAGC